AGTCTGTTGTTTTTTCCTAGGTTATCACATTTTCAATAAGTTTTCTAAATTTTTAACACAAGCCAGATTACAAATGAATAGATCTTTTTAGCTGAAAAAGTATCACACAAAACAGAAGTTTGTTTTGCATTCATTCTGATATATAGAATTTCATCCCTATTCATAAGAGGCTGAAAAATAAAAGAAACATAGAAGCAGGAATATTTAATCAAGAAATAACCATCTCCAGAATCGAAGTTTACTTGGATGTAAATTAGAGTTTCTCAGGAATCTCAGGCAGTTCAAATCTCACCAGGCTCAAGGTTGACTCAGCTTTCTATCCTTCCAAGGTGGATAAAATGAGGACCCAGATTGTTAGGGGCAATATGCTGACTTTGTAAACTGCTTAGAGAGGGCACGGTGAAGCGGTATATAAGTCCAAGTGCTATTGCTATTACTATTCTGATCATCCACAATAATCCCAATATTTATTTTACATCATTTCTACACCATATCAATTAACTGACTCATGTAAAACATCAAAAACATGAGCTCAATAAATGTATGGCAATAGCATCCCTAAAAATTACGTCCAAAGACCCATCAAATGAGGATTGATTTTACTTTTCTTTTAAATGTTAACAGAAATTGTATTTCTATTTGTGGCAAACCACAGAGAAGGTGAATGTCCAGATCCTTACCCCTTTAGCTTCATTGGAGGAGAGGTACACAGCATGGCTCCCTTACTACCTAAACAAAGTCTACAAATGTATATAAACTCTTCCAAGGAATAAAGCAAGAACTAAATCACTGCTAATCAGAAAAACTAAATAATTAGTCTTATGGTAATTTTAAAAAATAGAACAAGTCAGCAAATATTAGCACAAACAGTTCTGTCATACAACATTTGCTACATTAACATACCAATTTTAATTGCTATGCATAAGCAGTAAAAACAAATATTTCCCCCAAAAAAGTTATTCATTGAAAAAACAATCTTACCTTCCAAAGACCCAGCATGAACCCTTGGTCAAAATGGTAGAGTTCAACAAGTGCATCACAACCAATCATTTTTGCATTTTCAGTCATGTTAGCCACCTTGTATTCAGAAACTAAAGAACGTTGCCATGGGCTTTAAGGATATTAAGTTAGTTAAACACAAAACGCCCAGTTAGTAATTGAAGTTCAACAATATTTCAACTTTTTAATGTGCAATTACTAGCAATAACATAAACTAAAAGGAGTTGCAAATCCACTGATTTTCAATTAGTTTATAAGACAGGACTATATATTTATTTCTTTACATCCCACCCTCATACCATTCAAGGTGACATACATAACATTCTCTCTCTTTCCATTTTCTAACACAACCATCTTAGGTGATAATGTTGGGCTGAGAGAGAGTAACTGCTCCATAATCGGCCTGAAAATTTCTGAAGCTGAGGATAAACTATTCTAATCACTGTTAATCCAACCCTTCTCCAATTCTCCCAAGAGCTTTTTATTAAGGGGCTATTATGGAACGGAAATTAACTTTCTTGTAATTTAAGGTGAGCAGTCTCTCACATCTTGATAAATAGATGTATCTCAATAGTACACTGTCCCAATAGTAAGACAAGAAACACACCAAATCAATAGAACAGAACATTTGTAGCTCAGGTTTCAACAATGGAGTCTTTCGTGCTCACTGAGCTTAGTGGTTTTCTTGCAGATGTTTCATTATCTAACTACGGTAGGTAACTTCATTAGGGCTAGAAGACCTTCTATTTCTGATGATATTACAGGTAATGAAAAGTCTTCAAAAAACAACCAAATTCAGAGTGCACAAAGGATCCCCCAACATACAGAAATTGATCATTAATAATACTTCCTTGGATATAGAAGGAATCATATTTCTGTCATATGATGCTGCATATGCACATCTTTTTGCTTCCCCTTTTTCTGCCCTAGCCAAAAATAGCAATCATGATGTTAAACAGTCTTAAATAGCATTCCTTTGATTTCCAATCTGATCACTACTTTCACTATTGTGCTGTTCATATAAGTTAAAATGCATCTACAGCATATTACACTAATAAATTAAAATTATACGGACAAAGATATAACTTAAAGAACAACTTTTAAATTAACTTACCCATTATTGTTATGTACTTTATCCTCACCCAAAAGTACTGGGGTCACTCCAAATAACTGCAAAGTTGACAAGGTATCTAAGGGAGGCCATTTTTTATTATACCAATATACAGTAACAGACGTTTCATTAAAAGAAATGTCAGCCTGATCCATTTCATGTTCCTTTCCATTTTGATCCTTTAATAAGATTACCCATCTCAGAGCAGAGATTCTGTGATTGGAAAGGAAAAAGAAGTGTTGAAGGCTTTATACCATCCCTTTAATAAAGAAATAGCTTATCCAAATGTTTAACAATTACCACTATGTTTAATATATATACATTATTTCCCCACCAAGATAGGCTCTTTTCAACAAGATTTACATATATCTAACCATCTATATTATTCAACTGTAGGAATTTGTACTTCCGATCTTACAACTAAATATTAATCAGAAATAAATATCTTCCACATGTTCCCCTAATTAACAGAAATTTATAAATAAAATATAAAGCTTTTAAATGTAACCTTTTATTAAAATCTTATTTGATTAACACTTCTTACTTGATAGCTTCTTTGGTTTTAAGTGGAAGACCAGTGTAAGTGTTAATTGGCTTAAGAAGCTGAATTACACTGGATCTTTGAGCAGCTATTTTTTTCATAAAGTACTCTCTTTTCCAGCATCTTGACTTGGCATCTTGCAATTCCGGAAAGCTCAGAGATGTGCAATCTTTTTCCTGGTCAGATTTAGTTCTCCATACTTTTCTTTTAGGTAGAAAAGACTTAGAGTATATTTTGAACCAGATAACACTATTGAAAACACACATACAAACATAAATACTATGACAGTTACCAAAATCATTACATAACAAAACTTAAAAATGAGTTAATATTCAGATATACATTCCAGTGATAAATTACTAACAGGATTCAATCATATATTTAAATTTAATGTAGGGAAGATCTCATTTAAGGCTGTGGGTGGGACAAATCCAGTGATATGCTGGAACTGGTTTACACCTACATATAAGAGCTAATTCCAACTTTATGGAATTTCACAAACTGATTGATAGCAGAGGTGAGTCTTCCTATCTAGTATACTAATAAGCTGTCCTATGGCTAGCAACAAGGTTACAATAATGAGCCAGCTGAGCTACATTAAGAATCCAGGTAATTCTTAAACATTTACCACTATGATAATTTACAAATCCATGTTTTAATTAAACCAATGGCAACATTGTCACTAATAACAATGAGCCAACACTTTTATAAGTATAGCCAATTTCATAATTTCAACTTCTTAGATTTTTTGGTAAGTGCTGAAAAATTAAATACAATTTTTGAAAGATTTTATATTAACTAATCAATTTTTATCCTATCATTTTTTTTCTAGAAAAAAAATCAATATAGCAAGTTGCTCTTCATACTTTAAAAAATACTTCAAATCTACAAAAACTGTCTTAGTGAAAATAAGATGTTACTGTTTGCAAAAAGACTACGAATATATATAAAATAACTACAGAACCTCATATGCATATGTTGTTGTATTTATTTACAGTATCATGTTTAATCAAAATGGTCCTCACTGCAGTGAATGCGAAATAATATATAGTTTAAGACATTACACAATCAATTTTTGTTCATATAAACATTAGACAACTTGATTGGATAATGTCTTGAGTTATATATTCTTCTTCATTGCACTGAAACAGTGAAGCCCTTTCTTTTTCCCTTATACATATTTCAAAGATTTTTATAATTTACATTATACTAATGTATACTGATTATACATTATGTATACATTATGTAGTAGCCATAGCCCATGCTATACCTTACTTGTCATTGGATAGATCATAAAAAAGCTTGCTCACACAGCCAATACACAGTAGAGATGCAACATCTAAGTAGGATAATATTTTCAGAAGTATTTCTGACGGTATGCTGCAGAAATGAACATGAGAAAATAATGTAGTAATTTGAGTAAAAATAATAGCCAGCAATATGTATTTTAAGGAATGTAATTTACAAATAAAATTGAAGATTCACATTACAACTTCATTAAATCAAACTAAAAATCTCAAAACCCACTAAGTCACCTACAAACATAAACTGAAGAAAACAGTTCTTCAAAGCATAGAAAACTTCTTATGCTCACGATATAAATTACAATATGTAATTTTGAATCATCTATTTAAGGGGCCTTTCTTTCAGCTTTCATAGATTATATCCACAAAGGCTTTGTACAAAGATTATTGAATGATATTTTAACAATGATTGTAATAAAGAAAAATAGTTGGTAGGAACCTTGGAAAACACTGCATATGAGACCTGACCAAATTTCACTATACATATATAATGCAAATATTCATATAATACGATATTATATAAACAGGTACACTTCTTTACTTCTGGCTAAGTATCATCAAGATGCTTCCTTCAAATATCTCAAGTTGAAATCAAATATCTCATGCTACTAAAGCCATGAACAGAAAAATATTCTGCATTTTGAAATTATTCTGAAAAATCACTATAATTGTATGCTATATAACAGTGATGGCTAATCTTTTTCTAAAGGCGTGTGAAAACTGTGCACGCATGTTATTACGTGTGCGCTCCACCAACCTACATATGTGCATGTACGTGCGACCATACACACACCAGAGGCTTTCCTGAACCCTGGGGAGGGTGAAAACGGCCTCCCTGGACCCCCAGAGGCCCTCTGGAAGGTGGAAATCGATCATTCGGCCCATTAGGCTTCTTTTTCACCCTCCCCAGGCTCCGGAGGCTTTCCTGAAGCCTGGGGAAGTCAAAAAACAGCCCAACAGGCCAAGGGGAAGTTTGGGAACAAACTTCTAGTTGGCCCATTGGGCCTGTTTTTTGCCCTCTCTAAGCTCTCCAGGCTTTCCTGAAGCCTGGGTAGGGCGAAAATGGCCTCCCCCGGCCCACCGGAAGGCCAAAAATCAGCTGAGGGCTGCCGTGCTGGCAAATATGGCTCCATGTGCCACCTGTGGCACATGTGCCATAGGTTTGCCATCACGGCTATATAAAAAGTGTAATGTAATTTCCCATTTTCTACCAAATAATGGTCCTAAAATAAAGAATATTTCAATTCTACTAGCTATATTAATTATTATTTATATTACATCCTATTAATTACAATTGGCATTCTTCCTTTGGATTGAATCAGTTTTGTTTATGGGACAATTTGTCAGTTTAAATCATCCACAATTATTCAAAATTCATCAAAAATAGAATCTTCTACCTTGAAAAAAGATAAATTAAAGATTCTTTCACCGAAACTAAAGCCAAATATTCTATAGTAAATATCAAGAGTTATTGATGAGTTAATGCCTTAAAAACTGATGTAATAAAAATACTGATGCTGCATTTGACATTTTCCTTCTTCTATGATAGAGTTCATGCATTGCACCAAGTCATAAATGAAGCTTTGTTCAGTTTTGGCTTTGTATATAGCTTGTTCGTAAGTCTTGTTTTACCATGTTATGTGCCATATAAATTCAATCAATATGGTTTAATGGTATGCACAACCAGACCATCAAAATTATGATAATTATATCTTGGTTTACTTTTATGAAAGAATATAACAAATGAGATTTACATATCTGAGTGAATATTTTTCAGTTACTGCTGTAAAGTAAAAATGCATCTTACCTATCAAAATGTATTACAGATTTTGATTTATTTGGCTTCCTAAATTGCCAACTGCATATCTCTTTCATTTTCGAAAGCTGCATTATTGATGAGTATTCTGACTCAGCACTAGAAAAACAAACAAATACTTAATTTTAAAACTATTCTGACTCAAGTACTGTACAAATACTTACTATGCTTTGAAAAAATATTGGTAGGCCACTGCACATTTGAAAGACCCAAACAGGAACTCTCTTCCTTTGCCAATAACTTAGTCAAGCTTTCCCTACAGAATTATAAACGGTGGATAATTACTAGTTCTATGTGTTACATTGCCATTAAAAGTGAATAAAGGAAAAACCAAAAGAACATACTGTAGCAGTCCCTTATACAGAACATTGCTCATTTAAGGAACACAAAGTATATAAAACTGGAGACTCATTATGCTAAACAATAATATATTTCTTAAATTAATATGCCAATCATCTCACTATTGAGCAACTCTGGGTAACAATATAATTTATTTTGAATATAACTAAATTGAAATTAATGTTTTACTGAATAGTAAATACTGAATAAAATGCCCACTGGGGAAGCTGGATTCGCTTAACCACCATAGTGATTCACTTAATGACTGCTGTNCTGTCCACAATGTGTTTGTAGGTGGCTGGTAAGGCCTACATGGTCACATGTTGGGCAGACATATGTGGGCATTGTTTTGCAGCATTTGCAGCTCTGGCTTTGCAGAGTGCTCACTTCTCTTGTGATATGGTTGTTCTTTTGTCCTCAGATGTCTGGCAGCCTTGGTGAATCAATGTCTAAGCAAGATATCAGTGACTTGAGATTTTACTAGCTGCTTCTCCCTTGACGCCACTTGTCAGAAGTCAGCTGTAAAATGCATAAATGGTAATCACATGACCAGGGACACTATGATGAACACACAGGCCCACCAGTTCCAAAACACCTCATAAAATTACAATTTTCAGAGCCATCATAACTTTGAATGTTCAGTAAATAGAGAAGTCATTAAGAGCTACTTGTGCTGATCATATTCACTTAATTGCAAATACTTATTCAGCTGAATTATAGGCCAGCTGATATGGACCTATATTGTCAGATAGAGCTTCTTCATTATCTTGGGTCATAGTAGTGTATTCTTATAGTGTAACACAGATAGCATTGATTATTGAACAATTAAACAGTAGTTTTGTGTGATATTGATTTGCATGGGTGCCCATCTTATTTAAGTGACGCTGGGCAGTTATGTTTGTTATTAAAAGTTCTCCAAAAGCCCACAAATCCCACCAATCTGTGGGGCCTGGGAAAACTGTGATTCATCTTAATATTTGAAGTGCTATGAGGTAATGTGTCTCACAAAGCACGAAAACAGGACAAGTTGGTAATGTGATTTTATTTACTTCTGCCAGCCTTGGCACATTAATAATAGGAAAAGAACAGCATGCTTCAACAGGTAAGTGCAAAAATAATCAGTGTCCTTCCACAGAATTTCAATAGTTCATGGAATACAAGAAATCCTCTACTTTCTTCATGCAGAAAGGAAAACAAATTTATGGTACTCTTCTCTGTATTTCCAACTATAGTATATGCATTTGGCCAATTTCCCAGAAATCTGAGTTGCTGGAATGCATGAGAAAGCTGCCTACCCATGAATAAATATAAATTTTCACATATAAAAGAATGATAGTGGCATGGTACTGAAGTGTAGTGACCAGGTGCTTTTTTCAAAAGCTGCAATTTGGATTATAGGTTTTGCTTCTATTTGGTCTAAGCAGCAAAAATCAAGATGAGGAACTTTACAGCAAGAGGTAAACTGGCTTATCAACTAACCAGATTTGTTCATAGGAATGACTTGTATAACTGGGAAAATGAAGCCTGTGTTGGAACTGTGAATAATTAAGATTGGGTTTCTCTGATAAGGTTGAATGTGAAATTTTACAGTGCTCCAGATCAATCAGTACGTGAGGTGGTCTCCACAAATGCAGAAAGTTTATCTTCCTGCTCTGCAGAGCTTCAGTATCTAGTGTTTAAAAGCAATTTTGCAATTTACAATTTGTCTTGCACTACAGATGAACTAAGTCAGCCTAATTCAACACTTGTTGTAAAATAGAATATAAATTGAGAGCAAACCCCACTCCCTATTAGCACTGATATTACCTAGTTTGATGAATGAAACCTCTCCAAGAAAACAACCAAGCTCAGAGAGCACCCCTCATGTTGTAAGATTAGAATTCAACCACTCCTACTGATTTTTCACTAACATATGCAATATAATTCATCTTTTTAAAGTCTGTTTCTTAATTAACAATTAAAGCCTAAGGTATACTTCTCTGCCCTAAGCAAGATCATCCTTTCTCTTTCGACAGGGAATTACAGTGAAAACAACTGCTCTGTTGGGATTCCCAGAAGCAGTAGCTTTGAACATTTCTATTTTCATAAATCAAAGTTTAAAGGGTTGAACTAACCATACAAAGACCCAGGACCTTGTTTAGCTTCAGCCACAAAAACGTCCTAATGATTTTGAACTTTCTCTCTCAGCACAACCTACTTCATAAGGTTGTCATGATAAAGACAAACAGGAAAAGGAAATGGTGTGTGCTGTATCTTTTTGGTGTTGAAGTTATCTTTTTAGTTTAGTTTTTTTTAAGTCTGTAAGTTAACATAATGGAATGGTGGGAAGATAGAAGATAACATAGAAACTTGGTAAACTGAGAAATAAGGAACAAATTGACTTTTATACAATACATGTAGTCCCTGACTTTATGACAACTGGGANCCAGTCATTAGGGCAGAGAACCAGTTATTAAAAAATTTGCAGCCCACCACTGACTATAAGCATGCAGAACTTCTGTTCACTTACGTCCTTAACGTGACTAGGGGAACAGAAAAGATGCTGCTGCCACTTCTTTCAAATTATAGTACTCAAAAAGGAAATGCTTGAAAAAAAATGCTTTTTTCCTCTTTATGCTTTCAATAGGTTGTAAGAGCAGGAGGATAAAATAGTCAGAGGAATATTTTAACTGGAGGTATAGCATGAAGGAGGATTGATAATTAAACATCTCCTACACAGAGAAAAGTCAGGGAGATCCTGTCATATGTATCCCCAGTATATCAACTTTGTCTCTGAAATTTAAAAAATGATAATTCCACAGTATCAGACAAGCACCTTTCACCAAACCTGGCTACTAAACTGACATACTGTACTCCTTGTTTCTTCTCTGCAAATAACCATCATTCTGAGACTGAAGCTGAAATAGGAGTGTTCAAATGCCATCTAGAGGAGGCTGTTAAATTCAAAACAGTGTTGATGGAGAAGACACTGAGTTCTTGTTTAAGAAGGCTGATACAAATTTGGCTTTGCTGTCACCTGATGGCGAGTGGAAAGAAACAGAGAGCATACAATTTTCCAATAATGCTTCCAAAGCAGAGAGAGGGGGAAATCAACAGTAACTTTCTGAGGGCTGCCATTTTTTGTGTGAAAAATCAGATGCTGGTAGCCATCAAAGAGCTACAAGGCAGCAAATAAAACCAAGTAAAAAGACAGTGAACAAACTAAGGTGGATATTCTGGTGAACATTGTCTAACCCACCTGTCATTACCCACAATAGCAAGTTTACAGGCTTCAATGTGAGATGCTGATAGTGGTTTATATTCACCCACTTAATAGCAGGGATTCTCCAAGAAAAACTATTTTCTCAAAAGAAAGCTATTTAACTCCCCTAAAAATGTTTCTCTCAGAGGGGCAGAGTGATGGTCCAAGATATGGATCTATGACAAACTTTCCCCTCCCATATTCGTATGTTCAATGCCACAAAGCAAGTGGTGCAATTACAGTCAATTGCACAATGGGCTATTTCGTCTTCTCCATATTTACACCTAAAAATAACCCACTTCAAAGTGTTTTCTTCATTTGCCATTTTGCGTGCAATTTAGCTAAACTCCTGTCCTCTGAAAATGACATCTAATAAGTAATTTGACCACAGAGAAAGCCACTATAAGGCAAAAATAACTAGTTTGCATGCAAGGTATGTCTGCTACCCCATAATTTTCAGGGAAACAGTGACCAATTGCTGTCTTGGTCAATAATACTAGAATTGCAGATCATAGAAGCTCCCTTTAGAAAAATCTACTTTGAAGTCAAAAATGACTGCACTCGATTTAAATGTGGTTACATATCATCATCGATTCAAAACTATCAGACGGCTTCCTCCTCTCATTTTCTGAACACATTTGTATAATCCACCAAAAACTGCAATAATATTTACCTTAAAAGAACTTAGTATTTTCAAATGTCCATAGAACATTCTTATTCAATGCTTCCCAAGGTCTCTTTCTGGCATTTTATTATTTAAAGAAAAGAGAATGTTGGGGGGGGCACATGGGATAAAAGAGGGACCCATTCAAACTTCCAGCCCAAAGGCAAACATGCTGGCACAAATGACCCAGATACCCAGCCTGAAATGCAGACTAGTAAGAGACTTCTGTAGGGTAGACCAAATAGATCCTATTAAGAGTATATTCTATTGAACACAGAATATACTAAACTCTGTGGCACTGACATCTTCCCCTGCATTTTCACTTTAATGGAAAAGAAACTCCTTTTGAAATGTCATTCAGGGAAGAAATTTCTCCTTTGAAAGGGGATTTCAAAGCTGTCATTTTGTTGCACAATGCAGTTGATTAGTTTCAAGGAAAATGCCTCAAAGCTTGATGAAAACTAAGCAGGCTTCAGCACTTTCCTTCAGCAGCACATCAACCCCTGCACCTACCTCCCATTAGTTTATCTTTTCATCCATCTAAATATGCTCCTGATTTGATCACACTTTAAGATTCTTTAACTCTTGCCCAAATTTTTACAGCAATTTGTTCGACATTTCGACAGGAGTTATCCATCCCTTCCCTGGCAACCTGTTGCTTATCAGCAAAGGTATTAGAAAAAGAAAGAAAATATGTATGAAAGTAAAGACAGGATGTCAGAAAGAGTGGGAAAAAACAAGGAGCTTCATTCCCACCTCATGCACAATATGCTTCATTCTCATCTATATTTGAAATATGATTTTGGTGGGATTTTTAAAAGTATATACTCATATAAATCCATCTCCAGATAAGCTGACGATGAAATCCCACCCAATATGGCAGGAAAAAAGTGCCACCCACAGGTAAGCCAACTCTCAAAATTACAAACAAAA